TTTTAAATTATTAATTTTTGAACATTTTTCACATCCTTTTTTTAAAAAAAGCAACATGAATTGAGAGAAATAAAATATTTTAAATTATTAATTTTTTTGACATTTTTATATCCCTTTTTTTTTAACAAAGCAATGTGGTAACTTACCATGTCTCTTTTTAAAAAAGGGATGTGGATTGTAAAAAATAAAATATTTTAAATTATTAATTTTTAAACATTTTTCACATCACTTTTTTTAAAAAAGGGATGTGGTAACTTACCACGTCTCTTTTTTAAAAAAAGGAATGTGGATTGTAAAAAATAGAATATTTTAAATTATTAATTTTTGAACATTTTTCACATCACTTTTTTTTAAAAAAGATATGTGATAACTTACTACATCCCTTTTTTAAAAAAAGGGATGTAGATTGTAGAAAATAAAATATTTTAAATTATTAATTTCTGAACATTTTTCACGTTCCTTTTTTTAGAAAAGCAAAGTGGATTTCAGTTAGCTTTTTTAAATAAGTTCAAGCTTCTTCCTCGCTCCATCATTTTATATTTTAAAACCTAACTCCTCTCCCTCTGTTCCTTCGATGACAACACGTCTCTCCTCTCCTCCCCATTGTAGATCTCTCCTCTCCTCCACACAACAACTCTCTCTTCTCCTTCGCACTGCATCAAGACCCACAATATAGAGATCTATGGTTGACAAATTGAACAGAGACCTAAGGCTAGCATTCAATGGTGAGTATTCGATAGACAACTTACTCTTCTCCTTGTCTCCTCTTTCCCCCATTCGACGAATAGCTTTGAGACCCACAGGACCCATGGTCGAGATCAACAGCTTATCCTCCTCTTTTCCTTGGGCGAGCAATATTTGGTTAGTGTTACTTTCACCCACACGCTCTTTTTCTTTGTAGATATTTTTGACCTCTACTTGAGCCCTTTTCCATTATCTTTGGTTACTTCATCAATTTTGATATTATTTTATTTTTAGGTCTATAAAATCTATAATTAGCTAGAATAATGAAATGGAAATGGCAGATATTTAAATTTAAATTATTTTAATATTTATTTCAGGAGAATCCACGTCTTTTTTTACAAAAAAGGGATGTGGATTCTAGAGACAAGAGGGACGTGGTTTCTCCAAAATCCACATCCCTCTTTTTACAAAGAGGGACTTGGTTGCTCCAGAATCCACGTCCCTCATAAAAGTGATGTGAATAAGTCAATTTTTTATGTCGCCTGGATCTATGTCCCCCATGAAACGAACGTGAAATGCTCTGAAAAAGAGACGTGAAAAGCTTTTTTTGTTGTAGTGTGACTTTATTAATTTTTAGCTTTGGTTCTCAAGCTGAGACTAAGAATACATGTAAGAAAATTGAATATATTAATGTATTGTGGGTCTCATAAGTCTGAAGATAAACAATGTTTAGTCAAAATTGATGGGAAGCTATTGGATAATCTATTTTTTTTATAGTAGAGACTACTCAGTGTTCCTCGAAAAATAGTTTATGATTAAATTTGCACCTTTGCATATGTTGACATGGAGTACCTGTGAAGCGCCGCGTGTAATTATGGCCCCCATATAACGTCTGTCAATTGAAGTTAATAGTGGGATATTGAATGCTCTGTTTTTTATAGTTGAGGATTTATTTTGTACTACCTGATAGTTTTGGCTACTAGATGGTCCTGGAAAAATAATAGGTGGCTAAATTTTCACATTTACTCATTTCAATTTGTATCTTAAAAATTAAGATTTTCAATTTTTATCTTATTTTAATTTAATTTTATTACTTACAAAAAACAATTTGAATATGCTGGTAAAACCTATTTGTTTCAGACTTATACGAGTGGCGCCCAAATAAGCCTAAAGTAAGAAATATATATATTACCGGGTCTAGCGCATAATAGCCTGGATTTTCAATGAATGCACTACCGCCACAAGCAAAGATCAGAAGAATGCTAAAGGTTGCCACTGGCGGGAATCAGAAATAATCTTCAAAGAAGCATCAGCATTCAGCAAGAAGAGAGGATAGCTTTTATTAATCATTGAAAGAGAAAAATGTAATAGCATCAGCAAAGATATTGCTTGTCCTTGATCCATCATCATCAGTTTGATGAGGTTTAATTTTCAGAACTTTAAAGGCAAAATTAAACCTCTCATACATTCATCATCTTCTAATTTGGAAGCTTTAATTTGCGTCACACATACTCTTCACAAGATCACAAACTCTGATAATTTCGGGCCACGTACATGTGGTTTTACAGACATTGCAGTTTGTTTCGTCCATCCAAAGCAAGAGCACGACTCTTCATTAATTGAAGGACGGAACAACAAATGGAGCTACGTGGCTTTCTACAACATGTGGTAAAGATGCTGCATCTCTCGATGCAAAGAGCGAGGTTTTCATCCCAATTCTTTCAAGACAGCATCCTCCTGAATGGTGTGTGGAAAAATGACGAGACATGTGGATTTTAGTCCTAATATGACATTTTGATTTTTGACAAAATGTTTGATTAGGTTATTATCTACAAGGGAATATAAAATAACTACTGATCAAATGTAACTAAAGTAGTCATTTTTATAAAGAAATTAAGTAGTCATTTTCAAGAAAGTAGTAGTCATTTTCTAATCAGTTTATAAATTGAAAAAAATTGTAGAAAGAAAGTAGTCATTTTTTATTTTGCTTTAGTCAACAATTCAACCAAAGTAGTAATTTCCTAAAACAATCATTGAAGGCAAATATGTCATTTTATCATACTCAAAATGTCAAACAAGTCCCAAGGGACTAAATAATAATTATGACATTTTGTAATACTTAATTGTTATTTACATATTTTGGGAGTATTTTTTTTTGGAAAAATTACATTTAGGTCCAACATAAAGAAAATTTATTATTAAGAGATCTCATAAAATTCACAAAATACTCTCAAGTTTCAAATCCTATATTGCATTTACAATTTGATTACGGGTATTGATATCTAAGCAACGGCTATTTACAAGTTGTAAAGGAAAATGATAACTTATAATAACAAGTTATAAATGACCATTGTCTAATTATTAATGCCTTTAGTCAAGTTGTAAATGCATAGGGCTTGGGACATGGGAGTATTTTGTAAATTTTATGAGGCCTTTTGATAATAAATTTTCTTTTGTGGGACCTAGATATAATTTTTCCTATTTTTTCTTTCACCCTTATAATTTTCTGGACCTTAGCTGGTTTTAATATGTATGAAGCTTGTTGTATAAATATTGACCATGAATAGGGGAAAAAATAGAGAATTACATCCAAGTCCAGAGAATTATTTACAGATAAGAATCAATATAAAATTGCTTGTTGTTAAAATGGTAATAGAAACTTATTTTTTCTGAAATGGTAACTTGTTAATATTTATCTGTGAATAATTCTCTTGAAAGATCCATAGATGTGATTCTCCTAGAAAAAATGAAAAGACTATTTTTATGGAATAAATTATATAAATGACATAACACCTGGATTAGGGAGTATCTAATATATTCTTTTGGGGGAATTATCTATGTTCTACAAATATGTATCTTACTTCATTTTCTCTTGGTCTCACACGTGGCATCGTTCTCGGGCACTTTAATTCTCTAAGAGACCCAAATTTTATCTGATTTGATGGCATAAATCATGCTTTATAAACGAGGTTATGTCAATCCTTGTTGGTAGCTTGATCCCTAATTAAATTAGTAAACATACATGCAGGTTGCCATTTGAGTTGGTGTGAATGAAGTTGATATTTTGGCTTCTCTATAAATTTTCTCCACATATTTTTCATATTAAACTAGAAACCTTTGTTTTATGCTTTTTTCTTTGGGTAGACCTTCATTATTTATGTTTATTCTAGCATGCATGAAAGATGAAACATGTGACATATGTATAAACGATCATCTATATTTTATATAATTAAATGTGTTTATGTTTTTCATAATTATACGAAGTTCATAAATTATTCAAATTAAAAAACTTGACATGTATCCTTTATTAATTACAAAATTAATCCAAGAACCCATTGATGAAAATGATTTAATGTTAATTAGAATAATTTATTTCAGTTTCTTAACCAGAGAACAATATGTTGATAATTGATCTGATTAAAGTGTTATTGATAATATATTAAAAAATCATATTAATATGCCTATGTAAAATTTTATTGTTGAATGCTACATGCACTCTTATTATATAACATAAGAATTATAAAAATAATGAGATTTATTTTTCTAATCTTGTCAATTGTCATCGTCAATATATAGAAATTACGAGTTACTTATCCTTTTATGTGCTTGAAAATAGGAAGATAATTTTGAAAAATTAAAGTGTAATGAATTTGCATCTGAATAAGAAAATGTCAAAATGTTTAATTTATAATTTTTTATAAAAAAACTAATTTTTTTATATTAATAATTATAAAATTATCCATATTTCAAAATTCCGTATCTATTAAAATAATAATTCATTATCGTCAAAGGTTGTTCTATCAATAAGAATTTTGCTCACAGCCGTTGTACAATCAAATCTCACAATGATGTGAGGACCTTAATGAGCTCCTATAGAAATAGTTGGCTATCTCTGTAAGAGCTTTTTAAGGTTAAAGGCATGCCTTGATCTTGATGAGTTTTGTTAGAATTTCACTCACTTAAATTTTCTTTTATAAAAAATCATAATTTATGAAAAATATAAAATAAAATTATACCAAATATGGATACGGCCGGTTTTGATTTGGACCGTCCATATTGATGCCGGAAACTGATCCCGCCAAGAGTCGAGCTTTAAAATATCTAATGCGTGATCTGTAGTTTATGTCATGAAATGTGGTAATTAGCATAGAAAAGGAGCTGTATACACGCAAGACAAAACAGAAACTCCAGATTTCAGTCTATGAAAAGTAAATGCGTACCTCTCAATAGCCAAAGCATCTTACACTTCAATATCGTCTTCTCTTTCTACTTCTTTACATAAAGCAAAAGCCCAAACCCTTCCCTTTCAAGCAACAATGGCAGCTACCCAATTCAAAGCAACAGACAAACCATCTGGTCTCACCGAATTTGTACTTTTTCTAGGCCATGGAGTGAAGGGACTGTCCAATATGGGACTCAAGACCCTCCCAGAACAGTACGTGCAGCCATTAGAAGAAAGACCAAGCAGCTTCAAGATCGTGCCCGATCATCAACAATCCATCCCCATAATCGAAGTTGCTACTTGGGAAGACCCAGAAGTTGCAGATTCGATCTGTGATGCTGCTGAGAAGTATGGTTTCTTCCAAGTTGAGAACCATGGCGTGCCTCTGCAAGTTCTGGAGAATGTTAAGGCTGCGACTTACAGGTTCTTTGAACTGCCTGCAAAAGAGAAGATGAAGTACTTGAAAGGGAAATCACCCTCTAATGATGTTAATGGTTCAAGCTATAGCCCTGAAGCCGACAAAGCTCTTGAGTGGAAAGATTATCTTAGCCTCTTCTTTGTTTCTGAGGGGGAAGCTGCATCAACTTGGCCTCCTGCATGCAGGTACATGTATAATATTTTTATACAAGTTAGTGATAGCATATATATCATTTTAACAAAACTTAATATCAACTTTATTGAAATTGTTTGACCATTCAAGTATAAGTGGACTTAAACCAGATAAAATTAAAAGTAATAACTAATATGCAATAAAGTGAAAGGTCCCATATATAAATTCAAGCCTTACGGGTCTTGAGCAATGGGAGAGCCACATTCATGTGATGGGGATGCATCCCCTCATATGGAGAAAACTGCATGTATAATATGTAAATTCTCCAACTTTGTATCGATATTTTCGGAATTTTGAGCTTATAGACTCAATAAAAATTATTTGGATTTGAATTTTTGTAGGCATATGATATTTAAAAAATAATTACTCATTTTTAGTCTTGGCTCCACTACTGGTTTTGAGTTAAGATACAATACTTTTTCACTGCTCTTCACTCATTTGTTCTTCTTTCTTTGTTTCTGTGCCATCACTTCCATTTTCATGGCAATAACTTTGTGAGGGAGTTGGCTGATAAGAGAATTAGGAGTGGTGGAGAAAATTTACCCCTTATGTTGGCTATATGGAGTGAAGTGAAAGAGCTTTTCAATTTTTGTCTTTATTCAAAACAAACATGTTTAAATTTAGAACCGAAATCCACAATTACAAATTAATTTTGTAAACTTATATATGACACGGATCTATATATATAAAATAGCGGGACATTGATGATTCAATTATTATACAATTATACTTTTTATTTTATTTTCTTTACAGGGATCTATGACCTTGGAATACATGAAAAAGACTGAGATAGTGATCAGAAGGTTCATGCAAGTGTTAATGAAGAGGCTAAACGTGAAACAAATTGATGAAACAAAGGAATCGTTCCTCATGGGTTCAAAGAGGACCAACCTCAACTACTATCCCATTTGTCCAAATCCACTTATGGCAGTAGCAATAGGTCGTCACTCTGATATCTCAACCCTAACTATACTGCTACAAGATGAAACCGGTGGCCTCTACAGCCGAGCCAATGACGGCGAGCAGTGGATTCGCGTGCCACCGGTGTCCAGCACCCTAGTGATCAACATTGGAGATGAGATGCAGATAATGAGCAATGGAAGGTACAAGCGTGTGGAGCATAGAGTGAATGCAAATGGAAGCAAGGTTAGGGTTTCAATGCCCCTTTTTGTGAACCCTAGACCCTCAGATGTGATAGGACCTTGGCCTGAAGTGGTGGCAAGTGGGGAGAAAGCGTTGTATAAGAATGTGTTGTATTCAGATCATGTGAATTTCTTCAGGAAAGCTCATGATGGGAAGCAGACTGTTAAATTTGCCAAGGTTAAATTTGATGGTTAATTTAATGACTGGGGCAAAAAGTTTGAGAGGTTCCACAAGATTTATGGTGATGAAATATAAGAGAATTAGTCAAGAAAATAGGCCTTGAGTTTGTATTTTGTAACAGAATTAAATAAATGAATGGATAAAAGTTTATTGCCTAAAAATATATTTGAATATATGTATATATATTCAATTATATATATATATATATATTTGAACATATATATATATATATAAGTTAGTATAAAAAAGGTAGAAGTTTTGGGGAATAATTAAGCATATGTAAGAGCCAATATTTATCATAAAAATTATATCCCGTTCTAATTTAAAAGGAACTTTTAGATAAAACGAAATATTAAAAAATTATCATTTGTAAAATGTTATTTTTGTCAAATTATGTTATATTTTGGGATGATGAATTTCTCCAAAAGTGCCTTGTAAATTGAAACACAGGGACCAGGGAGTAATTAGACTGAAGACTAATGACAACTAAGTGACTACTACTTACTGGCATGTCTTGAGAAAAAAACAATCTAAATGGAAATCATGCTCTCCCCCCCACCCCTTTCTTTTCCCAGTTTCTCAGTTTCTCACCCTTTCATGATATATTTTATCGTGCATTCTAAAATTCTTATCCACATCATTAGCAAGTCATTAATTAATTCCCCTAATTATGATTTGAGGCCTTAATCCATAGAGTATTTTGGACTTTTAATTAGGACAAAACAAGGGCAAATGAGAATTCTGGCAAAACCTCGTGAACAGCTCGTGTAGTCAGCACTTATAAAACAACGTTTCAATTTGAAAAAAATTATGACGCGGTAGTCCGAGGAGAGGTCTATTATATTTGCGATGGTCTTGGAAGCTTTGTAAAATAACATTTCGAGGAATTTGGATTATTTAGATTTGGGTTTGATCTAAATTTGAATTTATAATTCCTTTATAATTTTAAATTCCCTTCATATCCTGGTTATTTGAAATGCTAGACAATCTAACCCTTTTATTTACCTTTTATTTCAATTCACATCTCCTTTACTTTTTTTCATTATCTTTGAACTTAACAATTTTTATATTATCCAAACAAAAAATTTTAAATATATGAATTTTAAATGTAAAATTTTAAATTTTAAGATTTTAAAGTTAAAACTAAATCTAAATCTATCAATCCAAACATCACCTAAGTTATTCTTGAATTAATACTACCTCCGTCCTAAATTATAGGACACTTTTGAAGAAGTTTCTCTGTCCCAAAATATAAGACACTTTGAAGATTCAGGTTTTATTAAATGTATCAATTTCAATATTACCCTATTTCTCTCTATAATAAATTTATGTCCTTTCTCTTTTTTAATATATTAAATGATGGGTATTTTTAAAAGTTTATATTTTTGTTTTAGAAAGATAAGGTTGTTAAGTGTTTTTAATGAGGTTTATTGATATGTGAGATTTTATCTAAATGTGTCTTGTAATTTGAGACGGAGGGAGTATCAAATTACCATTTAATGTCAAGCAATTAACCAATTTCCTAAGATATTCTATTGACCACTAGATTCATTAGGAACTAACATACACTTGTTAAAGACCGAGAAGACACTTGAAAGTTAAAGCTCTTTAATTTTCATTGTAGCAAAGTAAATATACAATTCATCCCGATATAACTAAGATGTACCATGATTTAAAGCGAGGTTGGTGGTGGCCAGGAATGAAGAGAGATGTAACGGAATTTGTTTCTAGATGTTTGACGTGTCAAAAGATAAAGATAGAACATCAAAAGCCAGTTGGAACGCTACAACCGTTAGATATTCCAGAGTGAAAATGGGATGATATTTCTATAGATTTCATCACTGGACTGTCAAGAACACCCTCGGGTAAGGATGCTATTTGGGTAATCGTGGATCGACTTACCAAATCGGCTCACTTTTTGGTGATCAGGTTTACCTCTACATTAGAGAAATTTGCTGAGATATATATTAAGGAGATAGTTAGGCTTCATGGTATACCCTCTAGAATCGTGTCAGATCGTCACCTGAGGTTCACTTCAAACTTTTAGGGTGCGCTACAGAAAGCTATGGGTACCAGACTGAGTTTTAGCACTGCATATCACCCCTAGACAGATGGACAAACAGAGAGGACGATCCAGACTTTCGAGGACATGTTGAGAGCTTGTGTGATTGAACTACTAGGAAGTTGGGATAATCATCTACCATTAGCTAAATTTGCTTATAATAACAGCTATTATTCTAGCATTGGGATGGCGCCTTATGAGGCTTTGTGTGAAAGGAAGTGTAGATCACCTTTGTGTTGGACAGAATTAAGTGAGAGGAGTATCATTGGCCCAGAAATTGTAGAGCAGACCACTTAAAAAATTGCTATGATTAAGCAAAAATTGCTAACAGCTTAGAGCCGACAAAAGAGCTATACCGATAAGAGGAGACGGCTGTTAGAGTTTGAAGTAAGGGATCATGTATTTTTGAGGGTTTCTCCGGTGACAGGCATTGGTAGATCCATTAAGGCAAAGAAGTTGACGCCTAGATTTATGGACTCGTATGAGATCTTGGAGCGAATTGGACCTGCTGTATATAAAGCTGCATTGCCTCCATAGATTGCAGGTATCCATAATGTGTTCCACGTATCACAGTTGAAGAAGTACAACCCAGATCCCTTCCATGTTATTGAACTTAAAGAAGTGGAATTGGGGGAGAATTTGACCTTTAGATCTGAACCAGATCGAATTGAGGACTTTAAGGAAAAGCAACTGCGCAATAAGACCATCCGACTCGTGAAGGTGATTTGGAAGGGTGCAGCCTTAGGTGATGCCACTTGGGAGACTGAGGAGAATATGAGGCGAGATTATTCACAATTATTTGCTTAGGTATGTAGTTACTAAGCTTACCAGCCTTAAATTTTAAGGACAAAATTTTTAAAAGGAGGAAAGAGTTATAACATCCTGATTTTTAGATAATAAAGAAATTGTGGAATTAGGTTTTATTAAGGATAAAAAAATGATAATAATAAGAATTTATATTATTTGAGGTTATTTGGAAATAATATTATGGTTAGGCATTTAATTATGAATTAAAAAATTTAAATTTAAAACCACATAAGAAATATTTAGCTAAAATATAATTTTAAAATTTAGAATATATAAATAATTTTTTTATGTGTGTGTTATAGTTAAAAAAAAAAGAAGGTGAAAGGTTGTTTTCTAAGTCCCACATTCGTTAGATATGGGAAGAGAAGAGGTGTCTCCATGTATAAAAGGAGGGGGGTACGTGTCTTAGGAAACATGAAGGGCTAAGATGCAATTTGGAGGAAATTGTAAGTTATGGCCTAAGAGTTTGAATAATTAAATTCAAACCTATAGTTTTTTTAATATAATTGTGGGACCCACAATACCATTTTTATATTATTTTTTTCCATCTCTCCCTCCCTCTCACGTTGCTCTACCTTGCCAAGGGGTTTATTTTCTTTTGTCTTCAGGTATGCTCTAACTTTCCTGTTTAGATTAGCATTTAAAAAATTACTTAGTTACAAAATTAATTTTATTGTTATTTCCTAAATAATATTAGCTTTCTAATGATACGATTATTTTATAGAGTAGAGCAAATATTTTGATTAAGATTTTTCTATAAGATAGTTAATCTAATGATATGATGGATTAAAAATACAGGTTGAAGTTTAGGAATATAATAAATATTATAGAATATTTTCTTAAGGTTGAAACTCATGTAAAAAAATTTTTGAGTTAGACTCTAGATCTATACGGTTGAATTTATGTTGAATTTGAGATGTAGGGCTGGACCTTTGATTATTAAATATTTATTTAAGTATGAATATATATTTCTAAGGCTATAGAATGGTGATTTGAGGCTTCAGGGTAATTCTAAAATTTTTAATTTATTTTTGGACAAAATTTTTAGAATATAGAAGGATGAAATTGTAATATTAGAAGTGATTTGAGGCTTAAATATAGTTTATTAGGGTATGATCATTTTAGAAAAAAAATTTAGAAAGTTAAATGAGGCATACACCTTAAATTAGTGTTAATATGGATCTTAGGCCTAAGATTTTCTAACTCTTTAAATTAGAGTCATTTATTAATTTTAATGTAAAATTAATCTATAGTATTATGAAATAATTATGTAGATTGTATTGATAAAGAGAGTGGTGAAAGAAGAATTGTGAAGGGGAACTTATTGTTCAAGACACAAAGTAACCATTATTAATGTGTTGTGATGAGCATGTATGTGATTGGTTATGTGTTGTTTTGTTGTTTGAAAAAATTATGAATTATGAATATTGAAAATAAATACTGTTACATACTTGTTTCGAATTATTACCAAGTGGGTCAAAATTTGTTTTTGTTTATCATGATGAGATATTATTATTCGATTATATTCTTGTTTGGATATTTAAATGATGCATGACTTGTCAGGGTATTTTAATATATGATATTATTGGGAATTTCTGTTTGGTTAATTATTACTACGTGGTAAGCCCTCATTAGACCCAATGAGTGGCGTGTGGCTTGGTCTAACTCACCTTTGGTCGGGTGATTTGGCGTCCAGGCATGGCAAAAGGAGGATATAAGGTGTAGTCATGCAATTAAATACTTGTTTCATTTAATTGAAAATATTGTTTGATTAAATGTTTTTGTGTGCCCACTTAGCAATCGCATGATTAGTTACATTTATATGCATAATTACATATTAAATTTTTGGTTACTGGGACTTTTATGTCTCATTCTCCGTGGTTAATAATTTACAGGAGCGAGTTCGGTTGAGAAAGCACTAGAGGCGTAACTTTGGTGTATGAGACACCATCTTTTACGTTGCCTCTTATTTTGGATCATACAATATATCTAGTGCCAACTTAGGACATATTTTATTTTGTGGAGCATATAGAGTCTAATCCTTTTTATTAACTGCATTTATTATGATCAAGGGATCATGTCTGTCCCTCTTGATGAATTAATTTGAATATCATCTCATGAGGATCCTGTCTGTCCCCCATGGTTCTAATTTTTTTTTGTTCACATAACAATATAAAAAAAATTATATTTAGGAATTGTTTGGGATTCTGCCACCTTAAAATAGGCTTTTACACTAAATGCTGATTTAAAAATTATCATTTTCTTTGATATGAATTGTTTTTACATTGTTTTCCATTAGGTAAAATTTTATTATAAATGTATTTTCAATTATCATGGTAGAGCTTATTCATTATGTTAAATTCTTTCTACTATGATAGGCTATTTGTAAAATATTTTATTTACATGATAAAATCTTTTTTACCATAGTAGGGTTTTGAAAAGAAGTTTAGTTATTTATTATCATGGTATAAATTCTTCTACCATGATAAGGGTTCGATGATATAAAAAAAAATAATTTTATTGAACTAATAATTTGTGAAAAATCGGTTTGAAAATTTTAGAGTGTTACATATTGGTGGCAAAGGTAGCTCCCGAAACTTGAGTTATTGCAAACTTTGGAAGAAAAAAATCATGCACTTTATAATACAAATAACAAGTCAAAATTCAAAATATTTTCATTAGGTTGCTCAAATATATATATATATATATATATGCTAATTTATAATGTCACTCAATAATTATTGGTAAAGTGCCAAACCATGACATTAATTGTTATTAAATCATTGCAAAATACAACCGAATATTTTGCACTAAATTTGGATATATGAAAAGTTATTAAAATTGACCCAACCTGATATCCTAAACCTTTGTCAAAATCAAATTTTGGCTTCGTCAGTTATGAATTTTCTATTTTTCCCCGCTATTACCTAAATTTTTCAATACCATCGAAATTGAATTGATTCTAACGAATTTAATTAACAAGGTCAAAGCACTTGCTAAAATATATTCAAGAGGTTCAAAGTTACCGGTAGATTCCAAATTATTACTCATCAAATGTCAATATCAATTCATTACTTACACGGAATATTAGAAGGCACACTTAAAGATATTATCGTGGCACCTCTTCTAGTCCTTCAATTTATTCATCAACTAATCTTAGCTCTGATTATGCTTATTTATCGTCGATTTTTTAACTAAAATTGCTTTCATGTTAACATAATCAAATAGATTTTCTTTTTATTTTGTTTTCAAAAACCATTTTTAAAATTGGTTTATAAAATACTTTTTAAAAACAAAAAATCAGAACAAATCCAAACTAGCCATTAATTCCTTACATCTTGGGAGAGATATATACATTTACTTAAGTCATACTTTAATTAGAGTACTTAGTAAATACTAAAGCAAGGGCTGGGAAAAAATTTATTAATGCTTTCGGGAACTTGCAGTGGATCTTATAATAAGAAAAATGAAAATGAAAAATAGTCATATAATACATAATCTCTATGTTAAAAAATGTAAGAGATTTTTAACTAAATCTCACCCCTAATAAATTAATTATTTATCTTTAAATTTATACTATCTTTTCAATTTACCCTTATCTAATAGAGTATTTCACTTGAAAATAAATATATAATTATTTATTTATTAAAGGCACTTTTGAAAAAAATGCATTAATTATACCATAAAGTATTATAAATGTTTTACATTTTTGAACATCGAACCTATAAAAAATGCCTTTCATTTTTAAATGCAAAGAGTATTGGGGAGTATATAACATGTATCTACACTACTACAAAAAAAAAACTTTTTACAGTGGTTAAAAAAATACTTTACATTGTTTCACATAGCATTGTTGTTTCTGGGGATGTAGAAAATACGAGATTTTTTATGTCAGTTGTAGCCAGAACCACTGTAGAAAGTGAACTTTCTACATCAGTTCTATGTACAATCGCTGTAGATAGAAATATTATTTTGAAAAAAATAGGATTATTTTTCTGGATTGTAAACCCTACAATCTAGAAAAACACCTCTAAAATAAATAGAAATAAAATTCAATAATGATAAAATAAGAAAGAGTTATTTAATTTATTCAAATATATAACAATTTATATTCAACTTTTATTTATTTAAATCATAACAAAAGAATTGGAATTATAATAAACAATATAAATAGAATTTTTGTATGCTAAATTTAAAAAAAACCTAAAATTCCTTAGAAAATACAAGTGCACAAAACCAAGGGGAACAAGCTCTTGACAGCAACTCCTTCTTTGCCTATATGAGCAAGTTGAACACACATACACACACCAAGTGTTGATACTCTTCATTCCCAAAATCTGGTAAGGCCTTAGCTTTTTTGTCCTATAGATTTCATACCCTAGTAGAAGAAAATGAAACTACTATTAACTACTAAAAACATTATAGGTACATATACTACTACAATAAAAAATCATATTGTAGATTTTATTTTAGCTTACATTGGACAGTTATCTTATACTAGAAGGCCAAAGCATATATAAAAGGTGCTCAACACAACTAAAAAGACATTAAAAAGAAAAAAGTAGTTAACTATATATAGAAAATTTGAAGCAAACTACCAAGAACAGTCAAGAATAGCTATTACTTAAGCAATCTGAATATGTAAACATAAAAGCTTATATTTATAAGTATTGAATATTTGACTATTTCTAATATTCCAACCATACGATACCTTTCAGACAAGGCTAGACTAGCTCAAAAGTACTGAAGAATGCCTTGTTTTCTTGCATTTGCAACCACTTGAACATGAAGAAGAAGAAAAATAATTAATATTAATAAATAGATAGATAAATGAAAATGAACCAAGTAAGTAGCACTTTGTTGAAGTTAACTTAACATTTTATGAGATAGAAAAATATATGTAAAGCTAACTTAAGGTGCAGAACATGAATCCTTTTGCTCACCTCATTAAGACATGAAATCATTTAATTGAAAAAACAAGCAAAAGAAAATTTCTTAAACATGTAGTATTTATGCCATAAAACCAAAATAACATCATATATAAAAGGGGTATTAAACAACAACAATAGAAAGTATGAAAATCATTAATAAGAAAATCACCATAGAAGCCAAAAATATGGTTGTAGAAACAATACTATCACCATTTCCACCACAAGCAACCTAAAAACTGCACAAAATTAATATGCAAATCTATCATGACATATTGAATAACCAAAAAAAGGGTAAGGGAAAGAACTAAGACCTTAGCATTGTCTATATAGTTGTTTGATTATATTTTTATTCTCATTTTATTTTGCTAAGGCTACTGCAAACATATATAAAATATAAATGAAAATAATTTAGTCATGAACTTGGATGCATAAATCGAACAGGGTATTAACGTTTGCATATCCTTTAATTAGCAAATCAAACCAAAAACAAATAAGCAAATATCAAACAGGATCAAATTCATATTCAATGGTAACATATAAATAATTGAGAATGAGTAATATTCAAGGTAAGGGAACCCAACTTTGACAAGAATGACACCAATGAGATGTTACACAAGAGAGAGAAGGTGAGAGAAGGAGGAGAAGAATGGTGGAAGCACCCAAAATAGAGGTTGTAATGCGAACAAAATAAATCTCACATCTAGAAACTAATCCAACCATTGAAAATGACACATTAGATGTTCCAAACTATCTGACAAACTTTTAGCTTGATCCAACGGTTAACGAATTTTTAAGAGCAAATTTACTAAAACTGTCCTGTGAATATGCGAAAATAACTTTGGAGGAAGGAGGAGAAGGATTTGGAGAAAATGGATCTTGGGTTTTGGGTATCTTATTTAGGGAGAAGGGATGAGGAGGAAGAGGAGGACGGCAACACAATATGGAGGCAAGGAGAGTAGAAGACAAGGAGGAAGATGATGCAAACACATTTTGTGTGAGGAAGATGATGAGAACTAAAACTTTAAATGACTTTTTACATCGATTGCTAGGGTAACCAATGTAGATAATATTTTTTACATCAATTAACACTAAAATCGATGTAAAAAGTATTTATTTTTTTATATTTTTAAAAATTCAAAGTACTTTTTACATCGAGTGATAAAGTGCCCAATGTAAAAAGTCTACTTTTTACATCAGGTGTTTCCACCTGATGTAGAAAGTACTTTCTACATTAGGTAAAAAAGCACCTAATGTAAACTGTGTATTTTTTTAATTTTTTAAAAAATTAAAAGTACTTTTTACATCAGGTGCTTTATCACCCGATGTAGAAAGTATATTTTCTACATCAGGTGATAGAGCACCTGATGTGGAAAGTACTTTTTACATCGGTTGGAAAAGCACCTGATGTAAAAAGTCTAATAGTCATGGCTAATATTATAAAATTGCCACTGCCTGGATTGTTTATATCGTTTGCTTTCCAATCGATGTAAAAAGTTCTTTGTAAAAGCTAAATTTTGCACTAGTGCTACCAAAGTCATCTTCCATGATGTTGTTTATTAATGTATATTTAATAAAACATTTAACTTATGAAACCTACTCTCTCCATTTAAAAATGTAAGGCATTTTTAATTGAATCTCACCCCCAATAAAGTAGTTACCTAATTTCAAACTAATCCTATCTTTTCATATTTTCCCCTATTAAACAACTCAAAAGGCAAGACTTTTTAATATAAAGTCATTATCAATAGAGGCACTTTAAAAAAAAGCAAAGATTACACTTCGAAAGAATAAAAATGCCTTATATTTTTGAACATTCAACTTCTCAAAAAATGTCTTATATTTTTAAATGAAAGGAGTATTTTATTAATATGCATGTCCATTAAATCAATATTATTAAAAAGTCTTGCCTTTTGAGTTGTTTGGGTACGTATAGGAATTAAAGATGGTGTGATTCTATTATTTAGGTTTCTATAGGTAGGGTAGGTAGGGATGGAAAAATTTCTAATCTTGAAACATGAAATTTTGCCTTCATTTATTAATAATTTTATGATCTTAACAAAAGGCATTATATATCTAGACATATATAAGAAATGAAAAGTGATGTGCATTCTCAACATGTGACTTCATTTAATTTTATTGGAATTCACTACTATTGAAATAACTATTGGTGGCGTTTAAAATTTTAGTTTTGTGACATTTATAAAACACTATAAAATCTAATGCTATAATAGGTATTAGGTGACATTTCATTAATTATTAAAATTTCAGAAGACTTATGATAGAGCAAGGGTGTTTCCTTTTGCAAACGTCACCTTTTTTAGCTTACTTTTTAAAAAACCTCAAGAGAGGTGGCAGTTAATCTCTAGAATTTCATGTTATTTTATCATTTTTTTTAGATTCTAATCTATTTTGGCTCAATTGTATATGTTTTTATTGCCCAAATTAAAAAAAATGTGTATTTTCCTTTGGATTTGTATTTTTGGCTTTGATTTGATTTTTTTAGCCTAATTTTGTATTATTTTGGATGAAGACTTAATTAAAAGCATTTTTTGAGCTTTGTGGATGTTTTTGGAAGGATTTGAATGAAGAAATCAAGCATAGAGTGAATAATTTTTGTAAGTTGCAAAAATAATGTAAAACTACCAAAATCGTCCCAAAATCGTGACTTTCGTTCGCGACTTTCGCTGCTATCAGAAAACACTGGCGTTTTATTAAGTTTGAAATTGGTTGGATAGGACACATATATTTAAAGAGTTCGACCCAAAAATCATTCTTCAGACTTTGAGACAGATTTAGAGTTTGGGTGTGCTAGGGTTTGGGCATTAGAAGTGCTTGAAGCAAGGAAATGGATTTTTGAAACTATTTAGAGCTCCTTTTCTTTGGTTTTTCTATTCCTCTTCTCTTTCCTTCTTGTAATCTTATAATGGTTGTAAATATCTTGTGTATTTGTAACTTTTTGATGTTTATGAGGAGCAAAACTCTTTGCTTTAGGATTCTTTTGAACCTTTGTATGGATTAACATTAAGTTCCTCCTCTCTTTGTGATAAATGATATATATGTGTGTTTATTTTACTCTTTCCTTAATGTTTCTAAGTGGTTGGCCATATTTAGATATTGGGTTTACTTAATTGATGCTTAAGATGGCTAGGTTGAGTGTAGAACTTGGATAAAATTGTGCAAGAACTTGATATTTACATGTTAAATGGATAGTTTTACTAGTAAGATAGAGATATACTTGCTAGCCTTACATAACAACACTAAGGTTGGTGTTTAAAATTAAATTTTATTAATTATCACAAGAGATTGGACAATTAATTTAACTAAAAACTTGTTCATGACTTGAGAGAGCTTGTTCAAGTATTTTTAGAACCATAAATTAGCACTTATTTTCATTAGAAGCATTTATGAGAGGAGGTAATTTTGGTATTATGAAATACAAGAGAGATAAATAATCCTAGGTCCCAATTTATGTTTGAAGTGTGTGAATCAATTGCTTCTTTATTTTCTAGTATTAATTTAGTTTGCAAAATCAACTTTTTTCTAATTAAGTCTAGCTCAACTTAATTGAACTCACTTAGTTTTTTGTTTGATCATTATTTTTGAACAAATTATCGAGGGAACGATATTTTACTTTCATTATATTACTTATTATAACCTGTACACTTGTAGTGAATAATAGTGGCATTTATTATATATTGAAATGCCACCTATGTTCTTCACAGAGGTGGCGTTTTCAATAAGAACAAGCACCACCTCTATGAAAAAATTTTTAAAAAATTAAAAATCATATAGAGGTGGCATTTCTTTAGTTTGTAAATGTCACCTCTATCATTTCATAATTTTTTTTAAATTTAAATAACATAGATGGCATTTCTGAAACATAGAAACGCCACCTATGTTATTTCAGAGAGGTGGCATTTCTTCATGAAAGAAACACCACCTCTGTGGATTTCAAATAGGTGGCATTTCTTCCTCGAAGACACACTAGGAAGAAATGCCACTTAATGTGTTTTTTTAAAATAAATTTTCTTAAATATTATACACCAAAAATTTTTACTAGAACAATAGATCCAACAATGTACAACCAGTCTAGCAATTTGCAAACAATTCAGTTATATAATGAAAAATTACAAAACATATATTAACAAAGCTCTCTAACTAGCTAGCTAGGCCAAGACATATTCTAAAAGCCTCAAATTTTATAAAAGCATTCAACAAATATCAAAGTTCTAGTATCCTAAATTAAAAAAAAATGATGATCACTCCTCAATTAGATCATAAATTTGCTCATAACTATATTTCAAGCATTTTATATCCTCAAAGTACTATGAAATATATTAAAACAAGAAATCATATACATATATAATTAAAAATTGTTATGAGCTGAATAAAATTTAAAAAATTAGATAACTTTTTGTACCTCAAATGGGATAAAAGTTTGACTACGGGTGATCACATCCTTCATGTATTTCATAATGTAGTACCCACAATCATTATTATTTAGTTGGAAAGGGCACTAAAAAATAAAGTAATATAAATTTAAGAAGCAAATAAATTTATTTTTCATAATTCAATAAAATCTTTCATGTATAAATTAAATATACCATAACCTTTATCCGTTGATAACTCTTTGAGAAATATTTATTTCTAGAAAAGGGGAGCTCTTTGTGATCATGAAAGCTGTTTAAAGCCCTGCCAAAATAGAAAAAACTTAATCAATGATAATTGATGCAAATATATATGTGTGTGTGTGTGTGTGTGTGTGTGTGTGTGTGTGTGTGTGTGTGTGTGTGTGTGTGTGTGAATATGTAAAATAATTCTTATAAATATAAATGCTTACTTATTGAATAAACTCAATATATTAGGACGATCTGTCGGCACGCCTCCAAATAGAGAATTGAGATAATAAATTAAAGACAAAAGAATAGTGACAGGATTAAGGACAATCAAAATTCAATATTTCATAAAAAATTTAAACTTTGATTATGTCTTAATAAAATTGAGGCATACCTAAAACAACAATTAATTAAAAAAGTAATTAATAAAATACTTATCCCGTATTGTAAGGTATTAAGAATAACATATTTTTTCTAACTTCAGCCTTTTTGATGAATATTTCTTTTTAGAAGATCTACTTGTTCAGATGCACTCATCGATCCATGACTAATATCATGAGGACTAATAAATGAAAATCTATTATCTTTCTCCGTGTCTTCCAAAAAAGAAATGTACAAATACCTTGATAAATAACAAAAAGATATATTAAAATTAATTACAATAAGAAATAAAATAATCAATATGAAAAGATGTTATGAAAAAAGTACCTTATTCAAGTATTGATAGCAAAAGTACTTGCCCATTCTCGATCAAGTATCTCCAAAATAGTATTTCTATGATATTTCCAACTGTCTTTACAATAGATTTCTCTTTCAAAATTTATTTCAAGTGTTTGGCTATTAGCAATAACCTTTGGCAAAAGAGACCAAAGAACTTCATGACAATTATTAGCTCTTTGCATTTTTGAAGCTCCATGAGATACACTTTTTTGTTTATGCATGATATTAGATTCCTTAGAAATATTACCATGCGCTTCAATGATTTTTTTGTTTTTTGATTTTGACTGAGTCTGAAAAAATAAAAAACATTAAGTCATAATTACAATTGCATCTAGAATATTTTAAGGAAGTGTGAAATATAATTACCTTATCAAATGACTCAATGAGATATAAAAGCCATTCAACAAAAGTTCCCTCAGCATCTCTGACCAATACAATATCATCATTAAGAGGTATCGGTAACTTGGCATTATCCTTAGTGCAAATGTCCACAGAAACTCACAACGTACTAGGGTGTAACAGAATAGTATGTAAAGTACCATCAATAAAATTGTAAACTGTACCCACAACAACTGCATTTTTGAATGAAATTTCTATGTACAATTTTCATTTTGATTCCCCCTAGAAACAAATAAAATATTTAGCAATTTATATTGTAAAAATGATAATAACTTTAAAAGTTGTCTAGAAAAAGTATTACCAGAGGGAAAGTAGGATGGTTTGACACAGAAGTGCAGCTATCTCTCAAATTAAGGCTTTTAATTATTGGAACTCTCACAAAACCTTGCTAAACCATAGCATTCATTTGCTTAAATAATTTTTTATTTTGTTCTTGTAACTAATGATATTGTTCTTCATAATGTCGCTCGCGCATATTCTGTTCCAACAATTGTTATTGAAATACATTTATTTCCTTTATCAACTCAGCAATGACACTCTTGTTTGAGCATCTCTGACCACTAAAATAAGTGGTTTGGGTAACACCAAAACCAATCCCTTTAACACGACCAGGGACTTCTTGAACATTTAAAGCTTTGCTGAGGATATCCTCACAACTAAATTGTTGTGTTGCTTTTAACATTTCTTGTGACAAAGTTTGCTATCATATAAGGATCATAATATATTATATATAAAATGAAATCATATAAATAAAAATTTAAACATGAACTAAATACTAATATGTACATAAGTCTGCCAAATTTGCCTCACACCTTCATCTTCAATTTTACCTTTTGAATATAATCATCCTTCTCCCCACACTTCATGTCATGTAAGTTGTTCACAATTTAAATTGTCTTTTTTAATCTACATATTAAAACAATTAATTGAATTTATAAATCACTCAAACATATGTAATAATTATTGAATATAAGACATACTTTATCTTGTTTAATAAATGCCTATCCTTTTCTTCCCCTTCTGAAGTGATATTTTTGGCTTTCAACTAGTTGATTTTTTTTTCCAACCACTTGTTGCAACATTTTTTGCAAAAAGTTTGCCAAAATGATTATCAAGGTCTTTCACCTTTTGAAAAATATTCATGCCTGTCAATGACCTAGGCAGTTTTCCTTCTTCAGAGTCACCATTGAAAGCTTTTCTCCATTTCCTCCAGCAATGTGTTGAAGGTAAGAATCTATGGTCCCCTATATAAACATTTTTCTTACAATGATCTAACCATATTGAATGAGTTTCCTCTTCACATATAGGACATACACCATGTCCTTTGATGTTATATCCTGAGAAATTTTCATAAGCAGAAAAATCATTGATTGTGCCAAATAACAAAGCTTTTAAATTGAAAGTTTCTTCTCTATGCCCATCATAAACTTCCATGCCAGTGTCCCACATTAGCTTCAAATCCTCTATTAAAGGAGCTAAATATACATCTATATCATCTCCCAATTGTTTAGGCCCAAAGATTAACATAGACAACATTATAAACTTATATTTCATGTATAACCATGGATGTAGTTGTAAATTATTAATATTACTGGCCATGTGTTGTAGGTATTGCTTTGAACAGTGTGGATTGATTCCATCGGTTGACAATGCAAGCTGAAGATTCCTTTCTTCATCTTTAAAATCAGGTACTCAATCAATTTTTTTCCATTGAAGAGAATCTGTAGGGTGCCTAAGCTTTCTATCTATAATCCTTTCATTCTCATGCCATGTCAACAAGTTGGCAATTTTTGCATTTCCATACATACGCCTAAATCTCAGTATAATGAAAAAATACCATAGTGCCTTCACAAGTCTTGATTTCTTTTCATATCATGATGCTTCACATTTAGGTCACTTCTCTAACGAAGCATACTCATTACAAAACAAAATGCAATTGTTATGACATGCATGTATTTTCTTATAGCCTAAACCAATTGAGCAGAACATTTGCTTGGCCTCATATTCTTGGTGGGAAGTTCATTACTAACAAGAAACATATCTTTCAAAACATCAAGCAATAGAGTGAAACTCTTATCAGTCCATCCATAAGCATCTTTCAAATTGTACAATACTAGAACTGCTGATAACTTAGTATATTTAGTACAATCAGGATATAATGGTTTCTCTAAATCACCTACCAACCTTTCAAACATTTAAGGACAATCATGAAAATCATCCTCTATTGCATTTAGCATTTCATCACGACGATCAGTCTCACACCCATTACTGTCAATATCATCGTATGCATCTTTTCTCTCAGAAGACCTACTAATATACACCTTTTTACAGAATACATCATTTTTCTCCCCATGCCTTGTCCAATGTGTATAACTTTGATCAATTTCATGACATATTAAATGATCTAACAATTCAGTTTGAGTAATCCTCTTTTCATAGCATTAAGCTAAGTAAGGACACAAAATTTTATTTGAATCTTTCATATGCTAAACTGCAAATGTAATAAACTCTTCCAACCCATCCCTATATTCTTTTGGCAATGGATTAACAAATATCCACTTTCGGTCTATACCCTCTACTTATTGATATTCATTTATATCCATCAAGTCAAGTAATAGACAACTATCGATATTTAATGCACCTAATTAATTAAATTAGGATATGATCTAGCTAATTAAAAACATGACAACTTAAACTTAATCAAATGTGAACAAATTAATTTGAAATTTTCAAAAAAATTTGGCAACATGACAAACTAAAATGAAAAATTTTCAAGTATTAAATCATCTATTTAATAATTGTAATTTCATCAAGAATTAATTTAACATTTTTTTTACATGCAAAATAATTTTTTTAGGTAAATTCAAGTGCTAACAACCACACTAGTATTCAACAGTTGATAAACAAATAAATAAAATTAAATGATAATAAAAATCAAACTATTTTAGGTAATTAATAAATAATTATCTAGGTAAATTTAAGTCCCAACAACCACATTAATATTTAACAATTGATAAATAAATAAATCAAATTAAATGATAATATATTTAGAATTACAAAAATTCATAACAAAAAAAAGATACCATGAGGAGGGAACAAGATGAACCACAAGCTGCCAGAGTTAAGGAAACAAAGTTGGGACCACGAGCTGAAGATCAATATGAGCACGAGCAAAAATAAGGGACCACAAGATTAGAAAAATTAAAATAAATTTGTGGGGATCTTAGATCATATAAAGATAGAGATGAGAAAATAAATATGATGGAAAGAACTTACTTTACACTAATGAGCTGAGAGTAAAGCGAGGAAGAAGGGAGAAGCTATGGGCGAGTTAGAGGCGAGAGCTGTGGGGAATTGAGAGGGAGAGCTGGGGTGGGGGGAGGCATGGCGAGTTGAGAAGGAGACCTAGGGTAGGCGTGAAGTTGAGAGGGAGAGCCAGGTAGCTAAGAGGCGATAGTATGGGGAGTTGGGAGGGACAACTTAACTGAGAGCCATTGGGGGTAGGGCCGTGGGACCATGAGGTAAGGGAGAAGGATTGGAAGGGAGCCATTTGGGGGGATCACGATTGAAAAGCTGCAGGAGGAGGGGGAAGAGCCATGTGAAGTGTCAGATTTTGTAAGAAAAAAAGACAGAATGAGAGGTGGCGATTCCCAATATAGACAAAATTTAATACATTATATATATTTAATATATAAATATATGTAATAAATGTATATAATATATATTTAGTATTTAAAAATTATTAAATATATATAAATCTCAAACCTTTATTAAAATATAAAAATTAATTACATTATTATAAATTATTTATGTAATAAAAATAAAATACATTGTCAAATAAAATAAATAATAAATTTCTAAGAGAGATGGCATTTTCAATATAGACAAATTCCACCTCCCTGAACGTTTTAAAAAAGTTTATTAAAAAATATATAATAAATAACATAAATATATATTTATATTATATAAATTATATATGTTATATAAGTAAATAATTTATAAAATAAATAAATAATAAAAATATAAGAGAGGTGGCATTTCTAACTCTTGAGAATGTCACCTCTCTTCCATTATTTAATAAAAAATATTTCTAAGTAATTTCATCAAATAAAATATATAAATAATTATTTTATTATATTAAAAATATATTTATAATAAAAATATGAGAGAGGTGGTGTTTCTAACACCTAAAAATGCCACCTCTCTTCCATTATTTAATAAAAAATATATTTCTAACTTATTTCATCAAATAAAATATGTAAATAATTATTTTATTATTTTAAAAAATTATTTATTATAAAAATAATAAAAATATGAGAAAGGTGTCCTTTCTAAACCTGAACCTAAAAATACCACCTCTCTTTCGTTATTTGATAAAAAAATATATTCCTAAATAACTTTATGAAATAAAATATATAAATAATTATTTTATTATATTAAAAATATATTTATAACAAAAATAATAAAAATATGAGAGAGGTGGAGTTTCTGAGACCTAGAAACACCATGTCTCTTCAATTATTTAATATAAATATATCTCTAAATAATTTCATCAAATAAAATATATAAATAATTATTTTATTATATTAAAAATATATTTATAATAAAAATATGAGAGAAGTGGTGTTTCTTTTTCCTAAAAACGCCATCTATCTTCCACTATTTATAAAAAAATACATGACTAAATAATTTCATCAAATAAAATATATAAATAAATATTTATTATATTAAAACATTTATATAATAAAAATAAAAAAAATAAGATAGAGGTGGCTTTTCTAACACTTAGAAACGCCACCTCTATTCTAGTATTTATGAAAAAATATATTATTGAATAATTTCATCAAATTAAATATATAATAAATATTTATCATATTAAAACATTTTAATAATAAAAAATAAAAATATGAGAGAGGTGGCATTTCTAACACCTAAAAATGCCACCTCTCTTTCATTATTTAGTTAATAAAAATATATCTCTAAATAATTTCATCAAATAAAATATATAAGTAATTATTTTGTTATATTAAAAATATATTTATAGTAAAAATATGAGAGAGGTAGCATTTCTATCTGTTGGAAATGTCACCTCTCTTTCAATATTTATGAAAAAATAAATTATTAAATAATTTTATATTATCTATTAAATTCTTTT